AGTCAATGAGTCGGTGTGGCTTAGAATCTTTCGCTGTAGAAGAAATCTATTCGTATGTCTATTGGAGATATATTTGTATTCTCTGGTTATAAAATAGGCTAAGCTCACAGAATAAATACCATCGCTCCCTTGGTGTTTGTCCTAAAGAGGTTCGACTGGATATCATTCATACTCACCAAAATATGTGTAAGATTTTATTATTGTGGAGTGCCTTGTTTATCTCTCAGTACCTCCAACCATAGCCTTGCCCCTTTTCTCCTCAGGATCAGTGTAGTTGTTGGAACGAGGTTTTGGACTCAGCAATGTATTCGTTTACATTTTAATACATGTTTATTGTTCCTCCTTTGCTGTGTTGTTTTAGACAATCGTGGACTAACAGTTTGAAGTCATTGAACTACTTCCAAAAGTTGTATCGACATCAACAGGATTACGATTTCAGTTTCAATATGATGCTGGATGACCTTATCACGATAACCCATGACTATAAACCATTATAAACACAGAATCAACAAAAACATCTGTGACACGCACCTGGCGCATGGCTACATTTCTCAAATAAATCTGATTGAGGGTGGAGAAATCTGAAAGGCAAGACAATTTATGACAGAGTCATGAAATTCTGCAACAGCAACATGCACAGAATGACCTCCGTATAAAAAAGTATCACCACCACTGCTCACATGTTTCCCCGCAGAAGAACATGCATTATGCTAGTGCCATTTTCTGCAAGAAAATGCTTGCACATCAATGCGTATAATATCATTATAATTATTATTATGGTATTGATATGATGTGAAGGCCATCATTTACATATTGATATAGCCATAATAGGGCATTCCATTGATTGGTGACAGAAAAAAACAAAAGAAATTATAGCAATAAAAACTGCTTTATGGCAGTTTTCTAAAAAAAGTTATTGTGTTCTAGTCCATGGACCCCGTCTAAAAAGTAAGAAATTAACGAAATGTGATAGCTGAAAATTAAAATTTCACACAAAACCTCACAATAATCACACACAGAATGAAAAGCTACATGCAGAAGACCTTTTCCCCTCGTGATCCTCTTTCCTATGCATGCATGTTGCCAATTGTTGGTGCAGTACAAGTTTAGTGTTGAAAGCAGCATTTCAAGTGTTGTGATTATTGTGAGGTTTTGTGTGAAATTTTAATTTTCAGCTATCACATTTCGTTAATTTCTTACTTTTTAGACGGGGTCCATGGACTAGAACACAATAACTTTTTTTAGAAAACTGCCATAAAGCAGTTTTTATTGCTATAATTATTATTATTATTAAATTTTTGATAGGGCAACCTTCTTGACGGTAAGGCTTATGTTGCTGCTGAGGCTTAGATGTGTTGTCGAAATTCTCATATTCATTGTACATTGGTACGTTACAAGTAAGGCACTGGTATTGCTTCCGGCACTCCGTGCCCCGATCATAGGGTAGAATCTGAATTTTGCAGTGGCATAATAATTATCGTTGGCAGTTCCCAATCTGGAGGGAAAGGTTCAAGGACGCATTGACCGAGTATGCAGAATATATTCGCAAACATGTATCAGGGGAAATCTCCATTATGGAGAGGTTCAGTGACTTGTCTGCTTCATACGAAACAAGCCAATGGGTTCAGTCTCGTTTTGTAAAAATCTCGTACGATTGGATTTGTTTACTCGAGTCTGGGCTGTTTGATTTGTGAGTAGCGCCGAGATTGCACTGCTCCAAAAAAGGCTGTGTTTACATCAGGGAGTAGTACAATACCGTATTGTACTACTCCCTGGTTTACATGAGACGTTTGTTGGTTGGTTGGTTGGTATAATTTATTTTACTTCGCCAGAATGAACAGGCATTGCTGCCTTCTTGCCTGGACAAGTGGATTGTCCAAGCTCTCACAAAAAGACGAAGAAAGGAAAGAAATATTACATGAGAGTGTGAAGCATGCATCTTATAAAATAAAAATAAATTCCATGAGAGTGTGACGCATGCATGATGAGAGAGGAGAGATAGATTCGAGATAGAGATAGATAGATAGATAGATAGATAAAGAGAGAGAGAGAGAGAGAGAGAGAGAGAGACTGCGTTATTGCCTGGACAAGTGAACTCAGTCCAAGCTCTTACAAAATGACCAACAACAACAGCAACGGCAACAACAACAGCGACAGCGACAACAACAACAGACCAACAACAACAGCAACGGCAACACCACAGCAGCAGCAACAACAACAAGAGAGAGAGAGAGAGAGAGAGAGAGAGAGAGAGAGAGAGAGAGAGAGAGAGAGAGAGAGAGAGAGAGAGAGAGAGAGGGAGGGAGAGAGAGAGAGAGAGAGAGAGAGAGAGAGAGAGAGAGAGAGAGAGAAAGAGAGAAAGAGAGAGTGTGTGTGTGTGTGTGTGTGTGTGTGTGTGTGTGTCAGAGACAGAGAGAGAGAGGGGGGGGGGAGGAGGAGAGATATGCGGATTGTGAAAATGGATTTCGGCATGAAGTTAGGTACACAGAATGTTAATATGGGTAAAAGCTGGGCAAGTCGAGAGCCGTGGTTAAATGTCTGCAAATCACCTTCCGTACGGACTGCAACTGGGAGAGCATTCCACAGAATGCTGCTAACAAACTGAATTGAACGACGTTTCAACCTGGGTTGAGCTCGACCCGGGTCAGATTTCAACCCGCCATGTACACAAAATGAATGGCGCGTTTACATGACGCATTGCGCTTGACCCGGGTTGAAAATCGTACAAACGTACTTCTGTGCGTATCTCGCGCCAGGTTTGAACAGCACTGCACATGCAAATTTTGCGTGAACAGATTCAAGTTTTTTTTTTTTTACTTGAAAAAGCACATAACCACCAGGAAAGCTGACAAAGAAAAAAGAGTAAGAAAAGACAGATAAAAAGAGAGCTGAGAGAGAGAGAGAGTTGGGGTACGGTTAGGGGAGGACGAGACATTGAATGGTGGTCGCCACAGTCAACAGATAGTAGCAGTGCTGGTGAGGCCGCCACTCCACTGACCATTAGGTCTCAGTATCGCCATGCCGGTAACGCACCAAGAGACAAAAACGGAAGAAAATCTGAAGCGCAATACATGAATGGTAATTCCAATATAGGTAATAGGGAGAGTGGTGACCAAGAGAGGACAGTATAGACCGTTAGTATGGGCTGCTTCAACGCACATCCCCAAACCGAGAGGTGCGATCTGGAAAGAACAGTGAGACGATCAACATGATGGGCTTCAAAGCACGTCCCAAGACCATGGCTGGTCTGAAATGTGTTTGTTGACACCTTTTTTAAAAGCTGTGAGTGGAGAGTGATTGGCCAGACGGGGAAAGACGTCCTCGGGGAGGCTGTTCCACAATTCAAGGAAACAGTACGGGAAGGAACGTCGAAGGTAATCGGGACTGGTGCCAGGGGTGGTGTTTAAGAGCTGTTCCCGGTGCTGGCGCTGAGCATAATGCTGCTGGCGGGTTTGAACAGTATCGGCCCGTGGTTTTGGGGGAGGGCGCATGCGTGTCAGGCGGGGTGGGCCCTTGCAGTTAACTACCTTGTAGAGATAGGACAGCCCTGCGACCGTCCGTCTGGCCCGCAGACTCTGGAGGACGGTGGTGGGTCCAATCATCTGCATGGCCTTGCGCTGTGCTGTGTCCAACTTCCCAAGGTGGGTCTGGGCAGCACCAAGCCAGGCTAGTGGGGCATACTCAAGTATGGGCCTTACAAAGCCCTTATAGACGGTTAGGCGTCCAGCAGCATCCAGGATGGGGGCTGCCTTCCGCATGAAATGGAGGCATTGATGTGCGCGCACAGAAAGCTGGTGGAGGTGGGCGCTGAAGTTGAGCTTCTCGTCGAACACCACCCCAAGGAGCTTCAACTGGCTGCTGACAGGAACAGGGGTGCCAAGGAATTGGACAGGGGGGAAGTCTGGAGGGGCCAGCTTCCTGGTCACGGACATCAGCTGTGACTTAGAGGGCTCAAAGGTAACCCTCCAAGTACTTCCCCAGGCTTCCAGCTGGTTTACGGCTGTCTGAAGTGCAGCTGCGGCGGCCTCTGTGGTCTGTCCAGGCATGACAGACATGTATAACGTAGTATCATCAGCATACACGGCGATGGAGACGCTGGCAGGTAGCTGATCTTCGGCGTCGTTTATGTATACTAGAAACAATGTGGGCCCTAGGATGCTGCCCTGAGGGACGCCTGACCGGATGGTAGAGGGGGTAGAGGTCTGTCCGCCAACAACAGCTTGCAGCTTCCGGTTCTGGAGGTACGATGTTAACCAGGCCAGCAGTTGCCCACCAATGCCATAGCCTCGGAGCTTGCACAGGAGCCTAGGGTGTGAAACCCGGTCAAACGCGCCTGCGATGTCTATGGCGAGGGCCTGAATGGTTCCGCCCTTACTGGTGGTTAAAGCCCATTCATGCTGGAGTGACGTTAGTACATGTAGGTCAGCTGTGCCGATTGATTTCCGAAAGCCAAACTGGTTGGCAGACAGGAGGGTATTGCTGTTGAGATGGTTGATGAGCTGCTGGTTGACTATTCTTTCCATCACCTTGGATACTACACAGAACAAGGAGACTGGTCGATAATTACGGACATCGCCCTTGGCCTTGTGCTTGTGGATGGGAACCACATTGGCTATCTTCCAGGCTGTAGGCTGGTAACCATGGGAGAGACAAGACGAGAACAGCTGCGACAACGGCTTTGAGAGCTCAGACGCACACTCCTTTAGAACGCGGCAGGAAATGGAGTCTGGCCCGGACGCTTTGGATACTTCAAGACACCGGAGCTGCTTGAGCACTGCTGATTCCCGGAAGCGGATTTGACTCAGGATGGCGTCAGTGCGTGGTGGGAAAGGCGGGAGTGTGTCTTCAGTGAGATCGTTTGGGATGCTGCACTTCTTCGCGAAGAATGATGCGAAACAGTCAGCCTTGGAGGAGGCCGTGGTACATTGCTGACCATCGGCCCCCTTTAGGACAGGAATATCAGATGTGCGGGATAGACCTCCTGCACGCTTCATGTTTGACTACCATGCTTTGTCACGTAGGTTTCCATTCGACAGCTTGTTCCGCAATGAAGATACATGAGCCTGCTGCGCTGCATGGAGCACAGTGGCAACTCTCAGGCTGGTTGCAGTGTAGGTATCAGACAATTGCAGATCAGTTGGGTGTGCACGGGTGTGTCGCCAAGCACGGTTTCTTGCAGACACAGCTGTACTACATTCAGGAGTCCACAAGACAGGGTCACACGTTCTGACTGACAGATGCTTCGATGGGATGAAGCGATCCATGCCCTCCTGGATGCGGGAAGTAAGTTGTACGCATGCGTGTTCTGGGTGGTGGCTAAGAATGTGCTGCCAGTCTGTCTGACGAATAAAATGACGCATGCGGCCCCAGTCAGCCTGGTTGTAGCGCCAGACGCGGCGTTGAGACACGGGCTCAGTATGGAGCGTGACTGGGCTGAACTCAGCAAGAATCACACAGTGGTCTGACTTGCCCAGGGGTGAAAATGCCTGTACTGTGACGGGGTGTGGCAAGTTTGACAGGATGAGGTCAAGAGTGTTCTTTCCTCTTGTTGGCTGATCAACATGTTGGATCAGTCCGTGCGTCGCACATATTTCTTCCAGGCGTTGCCCAGCAGTGGTAGTCTTGGTGCTGCCAAGCCACTCAGTGCTGTGGACATTGAGGTCGCCAGCCAGGATGACTTGGGCGGAGGGTGGAACAGCATCCAGGCAGTGGTCTAGGTGCTCCAGTAGGGAGACGTCAGAGTCGCCACTCGAGCTAGAACGATACACAGCTCCCAAGGTGATATCGCTGCCGGACTGGGACTGGATAGTGCACCATAGAACTGCGTTCTTAGAGTCCACAGGAGTGGCATGGAGGTCAATCTGTGCAACTGCGAGAGTAGACTTCCACCATATGGCAACGCGTCCACCCTGAGCAGTGCAGTCCATCCGCAGGGGCTCTCCGTAACCTGGAATGGTAGACTCTGAGGCGGTACACTTATCTGGAGTGAACTTAGTCTCTGTTACTATCGCAACATCAGGTTTATGTGCGTTCAGGGCATGCTGAAAGTCACCAAATTTGCTGAGCAGCCCAAAAGCATTTGTTAAAAAGACTCGCATTAAGTAGACTCTTGCGCAGCACACTGTGTTGTTTCCTGGTCTTCAGTGTTGGATATGCCGTCACCCGAGGTTGTCTCACTCTCTGTACCCTCTGGCCTCTTGCTGTCCGGGAGGGCTGGTGGCGAGGACCGTTCATAAGAGCGAGATTTTCCAACAGCCGGTGTCAGTGGAGGTGGCTGGTGTCGCACCCCATTGGCAGCATCCTGGCCAGCTGACTGGGTGGCTGCCTGCAGAACTGACATGGTCCGCTCTGCATTGTCAGCATCCTGGCCAGCTGACTGGGTGGCTGCCTGCAGAACTGACATGGTCCGCTCTGCATTGTCAGCATCCTGGCCAGCTGACTGAGTGGCTGCCTGCAGAACTGACATGGTCCGCTCTGCATTGTCAGCATCCTGGCCAGCTGACTGGGTGGCTGCCTGCAGAACTGACATGGTCCGCTCTGCATTGTCAGCATCCTGGCCAGCTGACTGGGTGGCTGCCTGCAGAACTGACATGGTCCGCTCTGCATTGTCAGCATCCTGGCCAGCTGACTGGGTGCTCGACTCCAATACACTGGGACCCACCGCGTTTTGCGCAGAGGAGTGCTTACGGCCAGTATCAAACTTCCATGGCCTGCAGTACAGTAGCCAGGGCCAGAATTCCGGGTCGGTCAGGAGATTCACAAGAGATGCATCCACGCCTACTCGTGCTGACACCCGGCCATGTGGAGAGGTATACATACTGCACGTGAGCACTGAGATGGACTGTGGCTCGGGAAGAGCAGCTGTTGTGACTTGAACGGTATTCTTTCAGACTGGATTCCAGCAGGATGTGCTCAGGTTACCAATGTACACCACGGCACGCTTTGTCTGTGGTGGCTCTGCTGCAACTAGCTTCCATGCGTCACTGTGGTTCCGGGGTGTGGTCCGCCGCCGCAAAACTCGTTTGGACACGACCTCCCGGAAACCGTCACTGTCGCATTCAGGAGTACTCAAATTGCTGCTTGTCTCTGCATTAGCAGGAGGGTTCGGGGTGTCAGGCTCCATGTCGACAACTTGCTCGGCATCAGCAGATGTAGCACTGTGCATGTGGTCATTTTGATTTTTTTCATGTTTTTTTAATTTTTTGGATTTTTTCGAGTTTTCCTTGGCCTTGTTGATCCCAATCGGATGCCTGACGTCTTGAGTAGTCTGGGCCAGTTTGCGGACACCAAGCAGTTCGTCTTTCAGATGGCAAATGCTGTCAGTAAGGTCGCTTATCCGAGAGAGCAAGCGGGCCTCCCTGCCTTTGCTCTCCTCAACCTCAGCACGCAGCGCGTCCACAAGAAACTGGAGTTTGTCATCCATGGCGGAGAGGAGCTCATTACTTCGGGTACTGCTGCCCTGACCACCTGTGCCCCCTGAAGGCACGACTGAATCTTGTTCACCGTCCGGCATGGCTGTATGCCGCCTGGGCAAACAAGGACCTTCGGGAGACAAAAATACTCAACTTTTCGAAGTACCGTGCGAGTGATTTCAACCAGGGAGTACCGTAAAATCCCGCCAGAGCGCCCCGTCTCTCCTGTCCGCCCCTCCCTGATTTCTTGTCAGGGATGTATCCTCGTATGACTCTGGCGGTGTTTAGGCTGTACTCACACTACTTGAAAGTTTGACGCGAATGTCGCGTTCAAAACTAGACAAAAGTACTTGAAAAAGCCTTTCCAAGCACACTGCACTCCAGTGACGACTTGAAACATTTTTTGTCAGCAAATTACCATTTACATGGAGAAACATGATTGTCATGTGGTACGTAGTTTTGCAAATCCCGAGGCTGCGTTCCTTCAATTTTTTTTCGCTCGATCAACTTATTTGAAATTTTCAGTTCATGAGAAAAATAGAAACAGTAATATCTTGCTTGGATCGTGGAGTTCATTCGCCATGCCTCGCGAAGAAGTAGCACATCGTCGACGTCGACGGATGAAGAGGTTTCTCTCCACAGCTCGATGAGCTTCTTCTCCAAGTCGTCAGAAAACACTACGCGAGGCATGATGTCGGTACAAAAGCAATGGTACAAAAGAAATGCGACAGAAACGGCAATCAAAACAACGGGAAGCTACTGGAAGAAAGAAGACGGAAAATACTCGGAAAAAACATCACAGAATTCAGAAATGACAGGCAAAAAAGGAAACTACAAGTATATGTACAGGAGCAGTACGACCATGAGGAAACAAAGCATGAAAAATATTCTGGAGCCTTTCAACGTACAATAGTACTCCGGCCTCCTGACCTCACACAACTTTCCAAACGGCTTGAAAGCAAAAAACCTCGTAGAAGAGGGTTCCGTTTCCGCTGAAACCTTTCAAGCGGCTTTCAAGGGCTTTTTTCATTTTCGCAACCGTCACCGTGGCAACATTCACACATAAGTCACTTGTATGCGGTTTTTCAAGTAGTGTGAGTACAGCCTTACATGAGGCGTTTCAACCCGGGTTGAGTTCGACCCGGGTCAGATTTCAACCCGCCATGTGCATAAAATGAATTGCGCGTTTACATGACGCTTTGCGCTTGACCCGGGTTGAAATTTCGCCCCCCCAAGGGGAGGGTTGAAATCAACCCGGGTCAAGAAAATCGTACAAACGTACTTCTGTGCGTATCTCGCGCCAGGTTTGAACGGCACTGCAGATGCAAATTTCGCGCGAACGGATTCACGTGACCATACAGGACTGTAGAAGTGGACTTTTGGCGGCATATCAGTATTTGACCCGGGTCAACTGTCTTCATGTAAACGCTCACCTCTTTTGTCTATCGTACAGACTTTCAACCCGGGCTGAACTCGACCCGGGTTGAAATTTCTCATGTAAACACAGCCTCAGTCGCAGTCTGTGATGCCGTACTGTACTGCAGACGCGTGCTCGACCCCGTTGGAAATGTACGCAACAGTGCCCACCCTAGGTACCCTCTTGACCAGGGATCGCACAAACCAGGGAGTAGTATTGTACTACTCCCTGGCACAAACCCTGAGTTTGACGGGTCTGTACGACTCCTGGCTCTTGACCTTTGGTCGGTGTACGAGATACACGAACAGTTTTCGTAGGGCGAGTACTTTTTCATGTTGCACTGAATGCGGCAAGGAGGACTCGCCGATCCGCCTCTCCCCACCTGAAGCGACGAAGAGGTAGGGGCGCTCTGGCGGGATTTTACGGTACAGGGTAGTAGTATGGGGCTGTTAAGTGTGACGTCACGGCCCCTTCGATACGCATAGCAACGGAGAGCACTGGGGACAAACAAAAGTCGCGTCCTCTGGATGGAACCAGTTGTCAAAGGCAACAGCATCTAAATGACTGGAGAGAGAGCAGGTTTTCTTTGCTTTTTCTTCAAGCGATTGTTGTCGCTCTTTACTCCTTGTTCTTTCCTCTACAAATCTCCTGTAGTCGTCGAGGGCCTTCATAATGGCTGTGAAATTGGCTGCCCACTGTAAAACTCCGTGTTTGAGAGTGCTTTGAAGATTCTTCGCGTCCTGATGGATCAAAGTACGAGCGCTCCCTGTGGATTCGATTATAATGTTGGTGAGTTGTTCAAGAAATCAGTGTCTTCTTTCTGTCTCTGCCCTCACGTTGGCACAATAATCATGATCAGCCTGAGGCCTCTATATCCATGACATCTCGCACCTCCCGTAAACTGCATGACTTAGATTATTCTCGCCCTCCGTGGTGATTGAAGACCCATGGAAGAAGTTATTATGTTCAGAATGATGTCCTGAGAATATAAAATAAAATAATGCTAGGGAATTGTTACAGGGTATTTTGGAAGGATGGAGAGAGAGAGAGAGAGCACTGAAGTGTTTTGTCTCACTGTAATTACTCCAGATTATTGAATGGTGTATGATCTACTCGATATTTTCCACAATGGTTTTCCTGATTTGCGGGATCTCTTCCTTTGCTGTTTGCGTGTTTACAGGAAGTGACTGTCAGGTGTACTACAGTATCTGCACCAGATCCTGGGGACATGAAATCAGATGCAGAGGCAGGGTCGTCCAGTGATGCAACACTGCCGTTCTATGTGCAACGTCACTGGTAATTCCCACGGCGAAAACACAAAAAGACAAACACGTCAAGAGACTACAGTATTGACCGTTCTGGGAATGAATCGTGACTGCTCGGACAGTCGATAATCGAAACACAGAGCACCAGCATGATGTTTTGATATTGGGAACCACACACCAGCTCAATTCTCAAGCCCAGAAATTGATGAACACAAAACACAGAGCGACGCAACAAAAGATCATCCGGCAACCAAACCAACCTGGGTCTAATGCACTGAATACTATTCAGTGCATTAGACCCAGGTTGGTTTGGTTGCCGGATGATCTTTTGTTGCGTCGCTCTGTGTTTTGTGTAGTGAATAGTCCTGAAATATGCAGGTCACACAAAGCAGTGCAAGCACATCCTGTTACAAGGTACATGCATTGCAGAACAAAGTGTAACCAAAGATACACGGGGTTATAGCTGCACACTCGTGCACATGCTCGCTCAGCCCAAGAACACGCATGATGATAGAAATAATCCGGGGGAAACACGCTAGCACCGAATTAAGCATCAAGACGTAAATAGTCGTCATCACAAGCCCATAGCCCTAAGGCCGTCGGGGCGTCACAGAGCAAGTATGAACAAGCGAGCGCCATAAAAATCGATCGCGTGCAGCAGCGAGCAGGGACTGCACGTCAAGTGCAGTCCATGAAATAATATTATCAAGCCATGACATTCTGGGCCTGCCTCGGCCACGGCCTCCAGCAACACAACACTGAAGAACAGTCAATGACAAACAGCCGGAACGAACAATATGACCAAAAAATTGCAATTTCCTTTTACGAACAGAAACAATAAGTGGGACTTGTTTGTGAATACTATTAATTTATTTCCTCTCTAACAGCCACAATCGTCCGTAAATAGTGCAGCTCTGAAAAAGTAAAAAATACATTGACATGTACATTGGTGTGCCGAGTAGTATCATCCTTGATTACCCATCCAACCAAGACGTTATCAGGTCCCAGACGCCGAGATCGCACGCCGAATGTGAAGTGCATCTAGCCTTGAACCTGTTGCACAAGGCACACACATATATGACATCCACTCCGATTATTTCCAGACGCCAATCATAACAGAACACAGAAATGAAACCACGGGCTCAACAAAGTACATGTAAACGCAAAGGAAATTAGTTAAAATAATCCATGAAGTGCTATTTTAATTCCAGCGCTGACTGCAGTGTGGCGTCGTGGCCCGATACCCACTGAGCATAGACACAAGCTCCATTTGACAGGGGCAAGACATACTATTTTGGAATAAAGTCATAAAGTACAGCATTCCAATGACATGACGGACACCTAGTGCAAATGCGTGGCCTGTTCATCCGGCCAACTCGGCCACGCATGAGAGTGTGTGCATGTACGCGCGCACGCAAGCGCGCGTGTGCACACACACCATGTATTCGGTGCGTATGGCGTACCTGTTGCGGAGATATGAAGATGGAATCATTATCATGATGTTACATGTACATGTACAGTGTATGTTTGAGTGTAAAGTAAATTTTATTTTATTACACATTTCTTCGACACAACTTACTCATGATCTTCGCATTTCTCATAATCCATCCACCTACACTCCATCTCAGTTGAGGAAAACTCTCCCAGGTATACACTAGTCACCACAGCCATGTGATGACATTGGGATGGGTCCCAAGCACGATTGCACTCTCCGGAGCTCCAATTACAATAATTATAATTTATTTGTCCAGATTATCTGTGAAGACAAAATGCAATGCATAGCGGCAATCGATGGATGCAGAGAGAGTTTGTAAATACACATATCTTTCCACTTGTTCAGGAGCTTACCTTTTGGAGTTCACATCGTTTACACGACCTCTTATGCTGTCTTGCACCTTGGCTTTGTTGACCATGGATACGCCATCCCAGAAGACATTCTACAGGAGCTACTAATGCAGAGCGTTTTTCACGCTCGATCTCGGCGATCTACCTCGCCACGCCAATAAAATCCTCCGTGACACTGGCTTCAGTCACAGGAGACGTCTCAGTAAGGTAATGAGCACCACAACACCGTCGAGATCAAGGACAAAGAGAAAACAAAACACTCACTGAAAACAGCAAAGAAGAAACGAAGAAATGTACACGATTCCTATATGTTGCCACTGACAACTGGTTCGATGGAGACGACGCTACTTTTGTTTGTCCCCAGTGGGATCGTTGCTATGCGTATCGAAGGAACTGTGACGTCATCACTTGACACCCCCATTGTACTACTCCCTGATTTCAACCCTGCCGAAAAGACCTGTTGCTACATTGTAGTCTCTAACTACAAATGACTATACGGAACTGTAGATTCGTGTAGAAGTGGACTTTTGGCGGCATATCAGTATTTCACCCGGGTCAACTGTCTTCATGTGCTCACCTATTTTGTCTATCGTACAGACTTTCAACCCGGGCTGAACTCGACCCGGGTTGAAATTAAACACGGCCTAAAATTGCGTGCCGGCAAAGCAAGAATGGACCTTATGCCATTTGTACAGATCCACGAAATCCTGTAGACCCGGCAGGGTGTTGAATGTGCAGGACCCTATTGTGTTTTCTGCTATTTCCCCTAAAAAATGGGGCCTGAAGGTATTTCATACGAAAACCTTTTCTGACAAAGATCTAGGTAGTCATTAGTTCTAACCAAAGTGAAGAAGCTGGAAAAGCGATTGCTGGTCATTGAATTATGACGCTAAAAAGGTCAAATGCACATGCATAGCACACAATGAACACCCTACGGGGTCTATGGGATTTCGTGGATCTGTACAAATGGCATAAGGTCGATTACGATGTGCAATCTGTTTGTAGTACCAGCAAGAATGTGCTGTACATGTACAGTATTTCCTCTGTTGCTGTTTCAGTTGCCGTCATGTAATAAAGTTATTAGACTGATAAAATGCTACACCGGTGAAGTAAAAGAAAAAAAGGCCCAACCCTGCCCTGCCAGCTATTTGGGCTTACGGGGGTCGCCATGGCAAATAATAATATTAAAGAACTATAAAAGACTATAAATAATAATAATGTTATTAGAGAGGTTAAGTTTCACGTAAAAGTCTTACGTCCGTGAACTTTTACGTCAAAAAGTCAAAAAACTCACGTAAAATTTGACATGTTTACGTGAGTTGACTGTCACGCACGTAAGTTCATGACGTGAGTTTTTGGAAGTTTCGCTTGGTTATCCCGATCGAATTTGTGTGAGTTTCCGGAGTTTTATCGAGTTTGTTAGAAAATTTAATATATGTGCGAACTAAACCCGAATCCTGCCAGGCAAAATTTCACGTCACGTCGTACGTGTAACTTAACCTCTAAAAATTACACGTAACGTGAGATTAGCACCGCGTTTTGAAAAAGGGCAAAAAACGTGCAACTTAACCTCTCTAATAATATTATTATTACCGTGGTATTATTAACTGGTTTGAGGGAAAGAGACAAACAGGAAAAGTCTGAAGAAAAAATTGACTGTCACCACCAGGACTCGAACCAGGGACCTTCGCTTGTAGCCAGCGATGCTCTAACCACATTATTATTATTACTAGTATTATTTATATTTGAAACTCGGGTATTGTTTATATTGCTAAAGAAAGGTTCAGCGACTCATTTGTTTCGTACGAGATGAGTCGGTCCATATGGATATAAAACAGGGTTAAGACAAACTCACAGAACAAAGCAGCTACAAAGCAGGGAGTCCAGGTGACTGAGAGTGAGGAGAGCAAAGCCATTCGTCAGCTCGTCACAAGGCTTCGGATGAGTATGCCACAGCGAAAGCTCGGGAGCAGGCGAAGGGACAGCTTGTAAGTTGTTAGAGGTTGCGCGCCTTGCATTGTTTGTCTCATTGGCTTAACTTTATTCCGCATTTGTCTGTATCTATCTGCATCAACATTTTAGCAGCTGCTATGACTCTCCCTCTCAATCCTCATGCACCACCTTTTATACCCCATGCATCTACGCCGACTCAGTCTGGCATAAAAATAGCCACGCTCAATGCATGTAGCTTAAGATACAAACTGCCAGAGATTGCCAGCCTCATCCGCACGCGTCAGTACGACATCTTGGGTCTATCAGAGACATGGCTACATCCCGAGATTACAGACGGAGAGCTCAGTATTGACGGGTACAATCTGATTCGAAAAGACCGCACTCAACGCTTGGGTGGCGGAGTCTGCTTCTACTACCGTCAAGATCTCCCAGTTCGATCCCGCCCAGATCTGCATTCTGAATCTACAGAAACAGTCTGGGTAGAAATAAACGGAAAACCAGGTCGGCACCTGGTTGGTTGCGTGTACCGGCCACCGGGGGAGCCAGTGTCTTACTGGGCAGATTTGGAAGCAGATATTGTACGAGCAGCTGTGCAGTCTTCTTCCGTGACCCTAGTTGGAGACTTTAATGTAAATATGGACCCAGCCCATCCGGCACCCCAGCACAAACACCTCACCGACCTCTGTGCTGCGTTTGGCCTCCAGAACATCGTCATGCAGCCGACCCGTGAAACTCCACAGTGCCCTGAAGGCACGATGATCGATCTCATATTGACCAACCCGGCGCTAGTGTCCCTAACAACGGTTGTGCCCCACTGATATTAGTTAGTGACCACAGCGCTGTGGAAGCCTTTATTCAGCTTGCCGTTGACGTTCCACCCGCGTCATCCACGACGTCGCGGCTGACCAGGAATATACGTGGCGTTGACATTAACTCTTTTCGGCAAGATATCCTTGAGGCTTCTCTACATGATTTCTCGGATCACAATGATGTAAATCACATGTGGAAAGAGTGGCACACTAAGTTCCTGTACGTTTTGGACAAGCATGCCCCGCTGCACAACTCTAAGCCTTCCCGGAGGGCGATACCTCCCTGGTCTGACAAATAGCTGCACCAGCTCGAACAGCGTAAACGGCGGCTGCACAGCCGTTGGCGGAAGGATAGGACAAACGGCACACTGTATGCAGAGTTTAAACAAGCACGTAGCACTGCTCGGAACGCGTATCGGCGCAAGCGAAACGAGTACTTCTCCCGTCAGTGCGAAGAAAATGTGGCCAACCCTAGGAAGTCTTGGGCCATTCTAAATGCAGTCACTGGGCGTTCACGTCGCTGCCAAGATCCTAGTTGTAGCATCAGCGAGGTGGCCGACACGTTCCACTCCATTGTCACCGATCCCAACCGTCCTGAACAACTCTGTACCCCGCACGGTCCCGCTGGACCCGTCTCCTTGACCGAACTTGATCCTGTGACTCCTGCTGACGTCCGACGTCTCCTTGAGAAGTTGGATGCGCGGAAAGCCACAGGTAGTGACGGCATACCGGGCTCTCTGCTACAGCAGTGTGCTGACTTGCTTTCATATTCTCTTGCTGTGCTGTTCTGCACCTCGCTGAGGACTGGAACCATTCCATCCGCATTTAAATTGGCGTCTGTCGTGCCACTGTACAAGGCCGGTGACCCATCAGTCCCCACCAACTATAGACCTGTATCCCTTCTCCCAATAGTGTCCAAGTTGCTGGAGAGGGTAGTGCAACACCAGTTAGTTCGTCATTTGGACTTGACCCAGGCATTACCCGATACACAATTTGCCTTCCGCAAGAAATGTTCCACGGAAGACGCCCTCTGTGCGCTGACTGATAATCTGCAGAAGGCGAGAGACAGTGGCAAGACCACAGGGCTGTGCCTATTAGACATGTCGAAGGCTTTTGATAAAGTGCACCACGACAAGTTAATTCAAGACCTCCTTGCGGTTGGAATTTCTGGAAAAGCCCTTAGTTGGTTCGTCGACTACTTGTCCGGCCGCAAGCAGCAGATCCTCATCTCGCCTTCAACCAGCCCTGCTCTGGCTTGCACCTGCGGAGTACCCCAAGGCTCTGTTCTCGGCCCTGTCCTCTTCAGTATATACACACGCGATGTCCCTTTGGTTTCCTCGCCTGTGCCAAGTGTACAATTTGCAGATGACATAGCCCTGTACGACTCCCAGGCCTCAGCGACGGAAGCGTCCAGAACCCTCACCACAGCGGCAACTGCTCTGGCCGGTTGGCTGCAGTCCCGAGGCCTCATCTTGAACGCCACCAAGAGCCAGGTTCTGACTATCTCTCCCCAGCAGCATGTACAGGAAGTAACAGTCAAAAGCGGCGACTGTCTCCTCCCCTCAGCGTCTTCTGCGCGCTACCTCGGCGTTCACCTTGACAATCGCCTAGATTGGGACACCCATGTAAACTATGTGGTCACCAAGGTTGCCAAGAAAATTGGCGCCTTGTGGCGGGCACGCCGAAGCCTATCAAGACGCTCTCGTCAGGTGTATGTGAAGGCGGTCATAATGCCCGACCTGCTTTATGGCTCCTGCTGTTTCTCAGCCGCAATGCGAGAGGGTCAACTGAAACGACTGCAAACCACGCAAAACAGAGCCATCCGCTGTATCGATGGCAACCCGCCCCGGACAGCCATGCAGCCGCTGCTCACTGCTCACTCCCTGTACCGTGTCAGCGAGCTCTACAGGCAGAAAATATTGATCACCATCTGGCGGTGCATCCACGCCCGCACCAGTCCTGTGCTCGCCCAGCTTCTGACCCCGGCACAAGGCACCCCAACCCGCCATCAGCAGTCAAATGGCCTACTAAGCCAGGCAAACCGTAGCCGCCGCGGTCAGCGGAGATTTTCTGTTGCTGGTGCTCTGCTGTGGAACGCTCTCCCTGGTGAGGTCCGCACAATTACCCGGCTACCTGAGTTTAAGCATGCATGTGTACCATACGCCTTGTTGTTGTTGTTGTTTGGCTTTATTTAAAGTGGAGTTCCAAAACAGGCCTAAACCTAATGACAATGGTCCCACTGATAATAAGAGAAAAGAAAAATATATAATAATAAGCGGACAAACAGAACCAAGAAGAAGATACAGCTGTAGTTAGATAACTAATATGAGCACGGCAGCAGGGGAAAAAAAGTCACAAGCACGGCAACCGGGAAGAAAGGAGTGAGTGAGTGAGAGAGAGGAGAGAGAGAGAGAGAGAGAGAGAGAGAGAGAGAGAGAGAGAGAGAGAGAGAGAGAGAGAGAGAGAGAGAGAGAGAGAGAGAGAGAGAGAGAGAGGGAGAGAGAGAGATGTAGTGAAGCAGATGAGTTCATCCTAGTTGACGGTACTGCCTAACGCCTGTAGGGAGTAGTTCGAGTTGCTGCTGATCGGTCTGCTCTCCCTCCCCGTGCAGTTCAGTAACCCG